AGAGGAGACTCAAAGCCAAAGCACAGATCAGCAAGGCCAGCGAATTTAAGTGTATCCCCACAGGCTGCTGGAACTTCGTCTGGGTGCATTTGTTTTTATAAGCATGGGCACTGCAGAGTCATTTAAACACATGTGCTTGCCAGTGCAGAACATCATCTGATGGCAGCAACCACCTGGTGCTGGCCACGACCGAGGAGGGAACACATCAGGTTAGTGTGGGCCAACCCTTCCTGCACTGAACAGGAGTGGCAGGGTGGGGCGGGGGAGGGTGGTGAGATGCTAGATTTTTAGTGGGAAGGATAAGGAAAGCAGTCCTGAAATGTTTTTCACAGAAATAGAAACTAGTGAAATACAAACTGGCATTTGACTACTTTAGAAAAAAAGAGAGGAGGGTAATAGGCAGGAAGGTGATTGGCTGCTGCTGCCAAACTAAGGAACTTTTAAAATTTTGTTTGTTCCCCCAAAGCAGTACATGCCCAAACCACCAAGAAAGGGTAAGTGATGACAAGCAGATCTGCAAGTCGGGGCCCTAGTCACAGTAGCAAGCACCCTGTCGCACAACAGCTTTGCAAGCAGCAAAGTTGCAGCTTCTGCTACAGGACATGCGCGCGTGCGCACACACACACACACAGCCCATCCTCCTCAGCCTAGATCCCTGCCTGCACCAAGACCATTCCAGCTGCATGCAATAATTAGGCAAGCAACTTCTAACCCAGCATAGGGGACTCAGAAGAGATAATGCTTAATTTTTTTTTTTGCAAAGGCTTCTTAAGGCTCCAGGGACATGTACCCCAGGTGGAGAATGCTTTCCCAGAAGCAGAGCCTGTTTCTCCAGCCTGAGTGTGTGTGCTACAGAGCTGGGGACTCCACCCTGTATCTACAGTAATTGCTGTATCTAATGGTGTGGTACTGCTGACTTCCTTACCAGCTGTAGCTTTCTGTTGTCCGACCCTGTTATTACTGGCTCCTGCTTTATTTTAGGGATGTTAACCTGCTCATATGTGTCTGCTAGTACGTTGCGGGTAAACTCCATCTTAAAGGCTCTTCAGAGAAGGGCTTCATGAGTTTTCCTTTTACAGGCCTTTACTGCATCTGTTTTGTCCAGTTCCTCTCTCTTCTTCCTCTCCTTCTTTCTGCCTGATCAGAGCAGGGGATGTTAGCTTTACTTAGGGACACCGTAGAGCCAGCCAGTCACATTATAGAAGAATATGTTGTTCTAGGAGCCTGCCCCTAGGTCATAGATTCAGACCTGTGGAAACAGCCTAGGCTACTCTGAAATTCTCCCAGGTGGGGTTCCAGTATTCAGCCTCCAGCTAAGCTCCATCCTTGTGGGCTGTAAGTTGGAATGAGTAAATAGGCCAGACATCTAATCCTCCCTGTGCCAGCATCCCACCTGGATGGCATGGTGGAGAAAGGGGAGCATGGGGACCCAACTCATTCACTATCAACAGGTCTTGTTCATTTCTTTTCTCTAGGAAAAAGCAGCACTTCTCTCTGTCTGTGAGAGGTGGATGCCAAGGCCCCGTACATTGCAAGCACACTTTCCTCCTCTGCACAGAGTGCTATCTTTGCTGCCCTGTCTGTGCTATGGACCTACACAGTGTAACAGAAACCCACCAGGGGCTTAGGTGTTCTTTCATCTTAGTAGTTCCAATATCCTCAACCACTATAGTTAAGATGTCTACATGGCAAGTTAATTCAGGCATAAAACACAATGTGGGCAGGATATGTGGGTGGGCTCCAGCCAGTTCTGGTGGCTGCTTGGACCACTTCACAGAGACTTGTTCCAAGGAACAAGGAGAGGGCTTTGTGAAGTGCTTCGACTCTCACTGAAATGGCTGCTACCAGAGGTGATTTTTCACTGCAGGAGGATTTGGGAATAGCAGTAGGGGACAGGAGAGTATAAAGCCAGATTTTATGTCCGGCCCATTTTGACCAGTTTTGTGGCCTTGCGTGTCTCCAAGGTACAGTTTCCTTATCAATTACAGTGAAGATTGAATATAGCCTATAGAACCATAGTGAGGTTCACATCACACAGTGTGAGAAGTCATTTTGTAAACTGGAAAGCACCACAAATAAAAAGAGGCTATTGTTATTGGGCTCATTATTCTGAGGCAGGAGAACCAAGGTATATACAGCAGGTCGGGCGCGGTGGTTCACGCCTGTAATCTCAGCACTTTGGGAGGCCGAGGGGGGCAGATCACGAGGTCAAGAAATCGAAACCATCCTGGCCAACACGGTGAAACCCCGTCTCTAATAAAAATACAAAAATCAGCTGGGCGTGGTGGCGTGCACCTGTAGTCCCAGCTATTCGGGAGGCTGAGGCAGGAGAATTGCTTGAACCCGGGAGGAGGAGGTTGCAGTGAGCTGAGATCGCACCAGTGCACTCCAGCCTGGCGACAGAGCGAGACTTCGTCTCAAAAAAAAAAAGAAAAGAAAAGAGAAGTAAGCATTAGATATCACACAGTCTGAGATGCTTGGAGAACAACACAAGCCTCTGTAGATCCACCTAGGATCTTTCTTCCGGAATGTTCTGTGATGACAACGGCAGAACAGGGAGGTGGGGGTGGCGGTATGCAACACTGCCCTTGTTAATGATAAAATGGCCAATTCTCCAATTCTATCAGCTGTGATAGAACTCAGCCCAAATCATCTTATTGCTAACCCTCAAATCACCTGATTAATTCTCAACTCATTGGAAAGACGATGTAGTGTTAAGAGCACGAACCATGCGACCAGGATGCCTGGCCGTTAGCCCATCTCTGTGTCCCTCTAACTAGAGGATTTGAAGTAAGAGACATGGCTCATCTGTGTTTCAGTATACCCATCTGTAACACGGAGATGATAACACTGTCTACTTCATAGTGTGAGAATAAAATGAAAAAGAAATGGAAAGTACTTTGGGAAACTTCTGACACGTATTAATAGTAAACTAAGTGTCACTACCATTGTTTTCCAATAAAATAGTCCACTCTTAAAAAACAAAATGTGTGTTCTAATTTGTAGGAGGAGATGAGTTCTTCAGGCACGATGAAGAATGGAGTTCGATTTGACTTCAAGAAATTCAGTCCCTCCTCCTCCACTCTAGTGTGAAGGTCTGCCATGCCAAAATAAGATTACAGAGTCCCATGGAGCTATATAGTGTGCATATGTACTTTGATAACCTGAAAATAAAGAGTGGTGACATTTCCTCTCGGTGGCAGAGCCCAGAACTAGATAAAAACAGGCTGTGAGGCTGAATTTGGGCTCCTCCATCAACTGCTGTGTGACCATGGATGCCTGACGTCTCTTTGTGCCTCTCTTCCTAAACATGCGATGGAATAACAATAGAGCCTGCCTTCTCGGGTTGTTGTTTAGAGCAGTCACTGAAGAGCTACACAGAAAAACCCAGCTATGATTGTTATCAGGATACCATTTGCCATTACCCAGCCTCGTGATTTGGGATTCGGAGAAACCGTATAAATTTCATCTTTCAAGTTAAAGTGGAAGAACCAAAAGCTAGCTAAATCTAACCTACAGCCATATTTTTGTTAAAGACAAGGAAAGGAAATGGCAGATCATCACAATCGAGTTATTTGGTCATACAGTATGACAGTATCTACGATCATCAATTTATGTCACTTTTTTAAAAATCACAAAAAATTTTGTAATGTGAAATTATTTCAATTACAAAGCATTTCCATACATAAAAGCTCAGTCCCCTTTAGACATTCCTCAATTTTTACAAATAAACTGACCTGGTAGGCATGGGTGTTCCTAGTCTTTGTTTTTAACATCAGATATGGAGGATAGGGTACTAAACAATGTTTACTGACTCTGGTCACTCTGAAGTGCCACTTGTTTTTTCAGTTTTGCTAGAACTTGGCACACCTTCATATTAAGAAGCAATGTAACTTTAAGGATTACTCATCAGAATGTTTGCACAAACTCATAAGTGGCAAGAACTGAAAATGCCGTGTGATTTTCAAAGTTTTAAAATAGTCCTATGGGGCTGGTGACCTCAGTCAGGTCAGCCATCGAGATTGGGATCCGACAATAAAGTCATAAAGTGAGTCAACTGAGTCAGGATGCAACAGCACTATTTTTCTCTTCTGGCTCCTCTAGCAAAGCAAAAGTTTTGGTGTTACGGCTGTCTCTTCAGGTAGTGAGTTTGGTTTCCAGCATGCTGGGAGCAGCTCTGGAGAATGCTGAAAAGCAGAATAGGCTGCCAGAGTCCAAGAACCGGTATCAGTAAAGTTAGCATAAGATTTAACAGGCTGGAACGTACCCGCCCAAACCATTTCTCCAGCCTGATAATCCAGGGCAATTAAGAGAAATTTTCCTGGCATTTTTAGCATTTTAAGTTTCATCTGGACAAACATAGAAGTATATAACGATGTTATCCAGACCTTACCACTGTTTGTTTTTGAGACTCTAATATTAAAGACTGGCCTAGCACAGCAGGTATGTTTGCCCTTGCCTGAGAGGAGGCAGCAACTTGGGAGGAAACAGGGTCTTTGGAGTTACTGGGCTTCCACAAGGATCCTCAAGGTTTGCAAACACCAAACAGACAGGACTCCACCCCTGATGCGCAGGCCAGTCCTTCCTCCTTCACAGTGACATGCCAACATCATGGTGCAAATTTGCAAACATTTTTTTCCTTATTAAGAAAATTATTCAAACCTAGAAAAATGCAAGGGTTAAAGCCTTGCTTTCATAAACATAGCCTGTGTGTGTTGAGGGGTGACTTTTACATATTATACAGAAAAATGCAGTAAAAAGTGCTGAAGTAGCCCATTCTGTTCCATTGAATTGTGAGGCAATTATGGTCATCCCAGCCTTAGTAAATTAAAATACATGATGAAATCCCAATCTAAGGATATCAACTGCTATGTTACTAAATAATCTATACATCCTATTTAAAAAGCATTTAAAATTGTGTCAAGAGAGGTTATGTTGAAGAGGAACTATAATTTAAAAATCATTTACTGTATATTTAAATTTTAACTTGAAGCTAAATGTTGCAAAATTAAATCAATTTTATTTGATAACATGAGACAGTTTATAACCCTTCATTTGCGGGTTGATGGAGCCCCTGGCACAGTCTTGGATTTAAGACCCCTACCTTATAGGAACACTTAAGTCTTGACCCTAGCACACTCTCTCATCCTGGAAGAGTTATTAAAGTTAGACGTGTTTTTCGCTGTTTTTTTCTTAGCCACTTTTCTATCCCAAGCCCAGCAAAGACATTCAATTCATTCCCCCTACACCTCTCCCTCTCTTTCCTCCCTCCCCTCTCTCCCTCTCTTTCCCTCTCTTTCTCTCTCCCTCTCAAGTTGCTAAATCAGTTCCTACAGTTTTAGTTTTCTTTTTTCTAAATTTAAAAATGTGGCTTCTGACTATAAAACGAATCCCCTACCTTCAGCAGCCCCAGTCCCCTGGGGCTGTTACTGGCGCGATCTGTAAATTAGCTGGAGGCACTTAGAGCCCTCAGTTAGCTGTCAGTCAAACATTAGCAGCAGTGTTTACCCTTGTGTAATCTGCAGTTGTTACTTAATTTAATGCCCGTCAGCATTTTTTTTTAAAGAACACGTCCAGCAAATCCTTGGCACAGCCTGTTTGAATTCCTTACTCTTCCCTTCACCCACCTTGACCCAAATCAAGCTAAATGCATCTGAGTAGAGGCTTGCTAATATTTTTAATTTGCTAGTGTAGTTTTCCTTCTTCTTGGAGAAAGAGTTTGCTTTCTGTGCCAGTCCGACTATATCCTACTCAGAGGCCTGGGCTTCGTGTCCCTACTGCACCTCACATCAAAGAGGGTGAACTGTAAATTGTTAGGGTGTTTGTTTCTTGTTGCTCTGGCAGTGATCTGTGAGTGATGTAAGATGGGAAGCATCCTCAGACTCCCATTTGGAGGATGCTGGTGTGGCCCCCTGAAGAAAATCCATTGAAAACAAACTTTGAAGTGCTGCCCAGTGGACATATCACATCATAATTCATACATAACTTTGTGTGTTTTGAATCTTTCTCCTCCACGGCCGCCACCTCAAATGCAAATAAATAGAGCCCTGGCCTTCCTACAGGGTCCTGGTGCTCCTTTCATAATGTGAGACCCATCTAGATCCAGCAGGAGAACTTCTCTAAGGCCATGATAAAGGCAGTAGGAAGTACTGATTTCAAACTCCTCCAAAAAAGGATGAAGCACATTGTCAGAGAATAAGAAGTCGGGGAAAATTAAAAGGTGATCTTCAAAGGCTGCAATGAACAGCTCCTCTCTGCTTTCACACACTGTGTAAGAAGACTTCCTTCAGTTCAGGAGGCTTTGGTTAATAGCCACATTCTCAATATTCTAGGTTTCAAGGCCAAGAAAATAAACGTCACAGTGGAAACCTCATGCTTTTTCAGGTGATATAATACAAAAAATGTGTACATCTCAATACGATAAAGGACTCTGAGTCAGCCAGGGCTCAACTTGCTATTCTCTTCCTTTCCTGCAAGACTTGAACTAGAGTTTCAGTGTCTCTCAGCTGCACTTCTGCTTCCCAGTGAACAGAAATCAGGATTCCCTTCCATTTACTGCTAGGGAAAACCCAACTGCTGAGGACCGTAAATGTCAGGGATCACCCTATGAGTCTCACATATGGCACCTGAAGAGGAGCAGTATGGAAACACAGGACACGAGGAAGGAACAGAGGCCCTAAGGATGGAGGCTCATTTGACTACTGCAAATGAACAAACACTAAAACAGGCATTTTGCACTCTCAGGCAGGGAGTTCCAGGGCTGAGTCCACATGGAGTCCATGGTCAGATTTCCAGGAAAGCTTCAGTGAGGGGCTGAATTATGTGCCATTAACACAAGACACACCCATCCTGGGAGTCAGCGTATCTGTCTGAGTTCAGGTTACAAGTGCACACTGGCAGTCTATGGTTGGGGGCCAGTGTCACTGTCCTGAGTTTTCCAAAGCAGTCCAGGAGACACATACGTCCCTGTCTTTGACTCTGTTCTTCCTCAAGCCCAGCTCTGTGATATTACTACCAAGGCTCCAAAAGGCAGCTGTTTTGCTACAGAAATTATGAATTAGTTCTACAACCTTCTTGAACCATCTAGAAAGTGCTCAAAGCACAAGGCTGCACAGATAAGGACTTTAAGGCTCAACTCACTCCCAGATAATGTTAGTGGCTCTTCTCAGCAAGAACATGTGCCCAGGTCCCAGTAGCACTATTGAAAAAGAATGGGTCCCTCTTTATTCTATTTCCACTGCTGAGTGGCCCCATCATGGGCATGCAAGGTTTCTTCTGCCATTTTCCTTTCACAGCTCTCATCAACTGCCTCTTCCATTTCCCTGTCTTGCACAATCTCAACCCAACTTACTTATTTAACAGCACTAATTGTTCTGTTCTTATGGACAGTGTGTGCCTTTAGACTTCCTCCAAGGAGAGAGTGCTTGACAAACATAAAATGGAAATCTTAGGAACACTTTTACACTGTTGGTGGGAACATAAATTAGTTCAACCATTAAGGAAGACAGTGTGGCAATTCCTCACAGATCTAGAACAAGAAATACCATTTGACCCAGCAATCCCATTACTGGGTATATACCCAAAGGAATAAAAATCATTGTATTACAAAGATACATGCACATATATGTTCACTGCAGCACTATTCACAATAGCAAAGACATGGAATCAACCCAAAGGCCGAACAATGATAGACCAGATAAAGAAAATGTGGTATATATTTTGTTTTTACACTGTTGGTGGGAATATAAATTAGTTCAACCATTGTAGAAGACAGTGTAGCAATTCCTCAAAGATCTAAAACCAGAAATACCATTTGACCCAGCAATCCCATTACTGAGTATATATTCAAAGGAATATAAATCATTTTATTACAAAGATACATGCATGCATATGTTGACTGCAGCACTATTTACAATAGCAAACACATGGAATCAACCCAAATGCGCATCAATAACAGGCTAGATGAAGAAAATGTGGTACATATATACCATGGAATACTATGCAGCCATAAAAAGGAATGAGATCATATCCTTTACAGGGACATGGATGAAGCTGGAAGCCATTATCCTCAGCAAACTAATGCAGGAAGACAAAACCAACCACCACATGTTCTCACTTATAAGTGGAAGCTGAACAGTGAGAACACATGGATACATGTGAGGGGAACATCACACACTGGGGCCTATTGGGGCATGAGGTTAGGGGAAGAGAGCAGTAGGACAAATAGCTAATGGATGCTGGGCTTAATACCAAGGTGATTGGTTGATAGGTGCAGCAAATCTAGCAAATCACCATGGCACATGTTTACGTATGTAACAAACCTGCACATCCTGTACGCGAACCCTAGAACTAAAAAAAAAAAAAAAGAAAAAGAAAGAACAAAAACGAAAGAATGGAAATCTTTTTAGAAAAGTGTGTCACTGAATTGGAGGTGGAAGCCATAATGATCAACAACAATAAATTCTTTTCTTTTCCATTAGGCCATGCCGGGTCCCCCCTCCCCTCAGCACATTTGCACATGTGTTTGTTTACTGACCAGTGCCCAGTTTGTGAGGCTCCCCCAAAGGCAGCCTCAGTCTGCTAGTGCCTGCCCAGGATCCTGCACTAGTCAATGAGAAATCAAACAAACTGGCTGCAATAAGCCGTTTACACCAATTCCCAAAAAGAGAACTTTGGGCTCATTCCCAGAAGGCCAGGCATGCGAGTTAAAGGAGCCTGACTTGCAAACCTTCCCCCACACTTGGGATTCACTGTTTATTCTGTCATCCCTGTTTATCCTTTCAACGGTGGTTTCTCCATGGAGCAACGCATCACACTTCACCCAGACTGTGGAGACACACAGAAGACGTCCAGAAAGAGCCAGAGAGAACACGATCCGCTGATCCACTCACTGAGCCATTTGTTAACAAGCTGGTTTAGGGTTTTTCTTTTCCACAGTTTTTCAGCACTTGAGGAATTGAAACTGCCAGCTGTTCTCATCTTTAAACAAAATAGCCAGAATAATCGGGTATTTAAGCTAGTTTTTATTATTATAGTCCCCTGTAGAAATACATCTGACCAAAATAATGAGCTAATGAAATAATGTGCACATCCTGACCATGCAAAACAGACACGTAAAATATGAAGTGCAGGGCCAGTCAATACTTAGTAACTGTTGATGCAGACTTGGTTTCCTAAGGTATAAAATGTGTAACTAAATGACATATAACTTCTGAAATACCATGGCACCAAGGGAGAATTAACAAAAGGCCACCAAAAAGCAGACTGCACATGAGGTAGCAGAGAGGCTGCAGAATCAGACAACCCAGACTTAAACTGGATTCCACGCTGGCTGTCACTGGAGCTGGTGGCATGTTCTCAGCAAGCCTCAGTGTTCTTACCTCTAAAATGGAGTTCAGAAAAATAGGGTTCCAACTCAGTAGATTGGTGTGGGGATTAAATAAAATTAGAAAATGCATGTAAAACCCTTGACTACAGTTTCTAGCTCACAGAAAGCTCCTAGTAAATGAAAACTACTGGGCACTCTTGTCTCACAGATAATGGCTTTAAAAACTGGGAACTTAAAATAATTTTAAAACTCAGGAAACAAGGAGTACCTCTTTGAGGGAAATATCTGACCCCCAAACCAGGTAATGGAACATCTTGGAAACCCAGACCACTCAGAGCAGACTTGTTAAAGTGCCAGGGACGGGACTCATACCCAGCTGACACTCAATAAACATTTATTGATACTGACCATGGTTTCCTCAGGTTTAAAAGTTTAAAATAAAATGTCTGGAAGAATTACAGAATTAACCACTTGTGGTTATTCCTGAAATATGACGGCATCCATGTGAAAATTCAAAACACTAGCCCCCATTAGAAAGCTGTATGCCAATTTTGTCTAAAAGACTGAATGACTTTAAATACAAAGATTGCATGAAAAGCGGAGATGCGTAAAATTATAAGAACAAAATCAAGAAGGATTTCCTAGAAATGGAGAGGCCTCACCAACTTCAGCAGAGAAATTTTCTTCATTTGTCATCCCCTGACTCCGCAGAGTGATGTAACAATGCCAGGGAGGTGTCTGCATACACCCAGGGTGAGACCACCAACCCTTTGCATTTAGCCAAAGGAGTACCAAATTATGGTGCAACACTGGCTGATTGAATCATTCAGAGTAAAATTCAAACAGATAAACTCACACAGGAGAGCTCCCACGCATAGATGGAGAAAATTAAGGGAGGCCATAGTTTAAAATTTTTCTTTTTATCAAGGTAGAGTTTGCAGTGTGACAGTGATTAAGCTGTAGGGGAGGCTTTTAACAGAATTCCCTATGGCCTTCTACGAACTCACTGAAATACATCATTTGCTTTTCTCAACTTCCTTTAATTTTAGTCTAGAAATAACCATTTATCTTAACATTCACTTTCACATGGGACAGAAGAAAAAACAAATTTTGCAGAATTCAGTGAGGCGTTGATTAATTCATGTTGGTCTGTCTTTGAGGAATACCTGGGATTTCGAAGGCAACCAAAATATATTACCTTCATCCTTGAGAATAATTTCCTAATCTTTAGAGACTAACCCTTTAAATGAGCCACCTCTCTTCACCAAAATATTGAATAAATTGATCTCTGGGACACTTAAAATGGCAGGCTATATGTCTGTATGGTATAGTAACATCCCCCCCACACACAGGCATGCACACACGCATCCCCCTGAGTGGGAAGGAATCAGCAGGGACTGTTTCTTTGGCTTGCTTTCCATAGTCATTTGCACTCTTCCAGCACAGAGCAGAACCATAATAGCAAACCCTTTGTAAGAAACGGACACATCTCCACATTTAAAAGGTTTGGCTGCAGGTGGGTATGAGAATGCAGAGTTTATGGAAACTTTGCCTTTTATTTATTTATTTATTTATTTATATCCTCTATTGCAACTGCAGACCTATGTGAGGCCAGTCTCCCTACTATGCCTTTTGGGAAGCACACGGTGAGGTCTCTTCAGCCTCCTGGCCTGATGTTTGCATGTTGAGCTGAGGAGGCTGGTAGTTTTCAGCCCAAGCACCAACCCAGAGGAATAGTTTGCCCTTGTATTGGATTAAAATGCATGAACATATGTATAAGCTAAATTTGTTATTGTGTTGTTGATCAGTCTTCTTTCAAAATAAAATAACTTGTTCTATAATTATATTTGGCAGAAAGCCATTTTCTACTTTTTCCTAGTGTAGATCTCATGCTTAACTGTTCTGACATCACCTGGCCCCTCTATGGCTTAGCCACAAAAACGTCACTGAAATGAATAACACAGTAATTTATGCTGGCTGCTTTGGCAGGAAGGAAATTCAAAGCATAATTTTTTTCAAGTTATAACTATGACTTGCATATAAACATGAGTATGTGGCAAATATTTATGTAATTCATTAATGAGGTAATGAGCAGAATGATAAAACCAGTGCAAAGAGTATTTGGGAAACTAAATATATGCAGGCATCTGAGAATGAATGCTAGAATAAGATTGCTAGATTAGACAGAACACTAGTTAATACTACACTTGGCAATAAAAGTATAACCTTTAAAGTCATCTTTTTTTTTTTTAACCAGACCAAAATCACTTGCATCACTACTGAATAAAATCCTACAAATTAGCATGTCATTTCATAGAGTCTGAGTCTTAATTAAAAACAAAAGTATGTCAAAATAAGATACATTCCCCTAGAGAATCAGTTCGCCTTTGGGTACGTCTTTTAGAAAATGCTCTTGCGAGACAGTGAAAACTGCAGCCATTCTTCTTCCTTATTTCAAGTTTCATACTCTGTCTTCTTTCTTTCTTTTCTTTTTTTTTTTTTTTTTTTTTTTTTTTTTTT